ACCTTTTGTTGCTCCTGTCCAAACATTTTTTGACAAATGTTGCTGCAAAAAAATCAAAATCTTTTTTTTTGTCGCAACAAGAACAAAAAATAATAATAAAAAAATCCTTCCTGTTGCAAAAGATGACTCAAGAAACAATTCAGTAGTTTTTTTCTAGTATTCTTGTGAGTTTAATAATGTATCCATCCATCCATCCATCCATCCATCCATTATCTTTACTTGCTTCTTCCTTTTCAGGTCACCGGGGTCACTCGTGTCCATGTCCAGCAGTCACTGTGTGAGAGGCGGAGAACACCCTGGACAGGTCTCCAGTCCATCACAGGGACACAAAGAGACAAATGAGACAAACAACCATTCACTCTCTCTCTCACACCTTGGGACAATTTAGAGTTACCAATCAGTCTAACATGCATGTTTTTGGTCTGTGGGAGGAAACTGGAGAACCTGGAGAAAACCCACAAATGCGTGGAGAGAACATGCAAACTCCACCCAGAAAGGTTTTGAGGAGACAGTTTAAACTACAATTGTTTTTGTCAAGAGCTTTGTGATGTTCATGCCTATTATTTATTTGCTTTGTTTTTACTACATATATATTTTATAGAAAAATGCATTTACAGGATGGTATACATGTAACAAGGCTGAAAAAAGCAAAGTTAAATCTGACCAAAATACTTTATAGCAATGAAAATAGACAATAACTGTTAGTTAAGTCATCTATTCACATTATCAACATTACTGGATCGTTTAGTTTATAGTTTATTTGACAAATGCAGGTCAACACAAGGTCAACAACGTAATGAAACGTTGAGGACGAGAAGAACCGTCTCGACTCACAAAAACAAAACAAAAAACAAGAAATACCAAAAGCATGCAACAAAAGTACGAAGCAAAGCACCAAGAAGTGAAAAAGAAATATATGTTTAGACTGTGGATCAGTCTTGTGTGTTCGTCTGGTCAGTCTCCACTCTGTTGGGTGTCTGGATTGTGACCACTGGCTGCAAGACACAATAAAACAAGTGGGTCACAGAGAAACAGTAAATTCAATTACAAATACTTTATTAATCCCAAAGGTAAAGTAATGTAACTCATCATCCTGGTTTCATTAAAGACTTGTTCTAGATGCTGATGGCTGTGAGCAGGAAGGATCTCTTGTAGCGTCTGTCTTACAGCAGATCTGAAGAAGCCTCTGACTGAAGACACTCTGTTGTTGTATGACAGTCTGATGAAGAGGATGCTGAGGCTGGTCTATAATGTTCTTCATTTAATGAAGAATCCTTCTTTGTACAATCATCTCCTTTATTTAATTCACATTCAAGATGAGATGATTTTTTTCCACACCATGGTCCATACATCTCCTCCTACATGTCTCTGCGTGAGTGCAGCTACAGCGTGCGCTCTCAGGACATTATTACCTGCAGTGTTCCCTCAATGAGGACTGAACTTGGCAAAAGGGCCTTTTCCTACTCCGCTCCGGTTTCCTGGAATATCTTACAAAAAGACCTGAAGCTCTCGACCTTGACCTCTCTAAGTGGCTTTAAGAATCTGTTGGACTCCTGGCAGGGACCAATGCAGACATGTTCATGATTTTAGTTTTCTACATTCGCCTTAGAATCTAGCTGTTTTTTGTTACTTTTCTTTTTTTAGCCATCCTATTTGTTAAAAAAATTAATAAAAAAAAAAAAATCGGTATGCCTTTTTATTGCCTTTTTCTATTGTTGTCGCTGTTGTCCATTGTTGTCATCATTCTTTGTTGAAATCAGGTCTCTCTTGTAAATGAGTCCTCGAGGCTCAGTGGGATTTATCTGTCTAAATAAAGGTTGAATGAAAGAATGGTCCACCAATTCCCTGTACTAAGCTTCTTGTCCATCTCTGACACACTCGTAAATGGTAAATGGACTGTACTTATACAGCACCTTTCTGTCTAATTAAGATACTCAAAGCTCTTTTCAACACAATCTGTGTCCTCATTTACCTCCACACACACATTCATACAGCACTCTACTACACCTACAAAGATAATCTGAATCTGTAGAGATTAATCAGTGCTTTAGATCACACTCATACACTGATGGGACACACATCAGAGACAATGAGGGGTTCAGTGTCTTGCCCAGGGACACTTCAACATGTGACTGCTGTTGGAATCGAACCCCCAACTCTCCCACTGGAGGATGACCCCTCTAACCACTCGGCCACAGCTGCCCACACAGCAGTGAATTTATAGTTTTATTATGGTACCAGGCTTGCACAGTTTCCAAAGACTAACATTCCATTTCAGCCCTTTCAGGGAAAATGTTCATCTCTGAAGTTTATCGACCTGTGTTCTGTCAGAGGAATCCAGGTTGAACTGTGTTGAAATTGCAAACAATTTGGGTTATGGACAACGTGGACACAAATGTCTCTTACCACCACTGACTGTGGTCTCTGCAATCAAAGCTTAACACATACCAACTATATTGCCAAAAGTATGATCAACCCAAATCATTGTGTGTATAAAATGAAGCACCTATGCATACAAACTGTTTAACAAACATTTATGAGATAACGGGTTGCTCTCAGGAGCTCACAGAGAGGGCTCAGCAGATGCTGAGCCACACAGAGGTTACCAACGTTCTGCAGGGTCAGTAGCTACACACCTCCAAACTTCATGAGACCTTCAGATTAGCTCAAGAACAAGGTGTAGAGAGCTTCATGGAATGGGTTTCCATGGCTGAGCAGCTGCATTCAAGCCTTAAATCACCAGCAGTGGTGTAACGCACACTGCCAATGTACTCTAGAGCAGTGGAGATGGGTTCTCTGGAGTGAAAAACCATGCTTCTCTGTCTGGTAATCTGATGGCCGAGTCTGGGTTTGGTGATTGCCAGGAGAAAGGTACTTGTCTGACTTTCTTGTGCCACAGGTAAAGTTTGGAGGAGCGGGGATTATGGTGTGGGATTGTTTTTCAGGACTTGGGCTTGGCCACTTATGCCACTTTATCATTAGTAAGTGCGGCTCCACTCTGCTTTCCTCTTCTCAGGTGTCTGTGATTTGCCATTGCAGTGGAAGCTGACCTGTCTCCCCACTCTGTGGGGATGATCAATGCAAAGTGGACAGGATCATAATTGATGTGGGGGATGGGGG